TAATAACTAAGATCCATGAACTAACCGTGAATTGCGGAACAACAGAACACATCGATAAGCACTCACAAGATAAACCACACACTTCTGCACAAAGGTAGAGGGGCCATAGCGAATCAGATACTATGTCCAATTGAGATACCACCGTCAAATACAAGGAAGAGATCAGCTTTTAATTGAATTTTCAACCAAAAAATGCTTCAAAAAACGAAACAAAAACTCTATATTAGTTTGCACACAATGTGGCATGATGATATTGAATATGGTCACAAAATATACCACTGTAATAAACGTTTTCATAACATGATAAGAAGGTTAAGAACTCGTAACATACTGTTGGATCAGTGAAATCGATAAACTAAGTTATAGGAAGTGGTAAGCTATACACAACCCTGACAAGATGGGTGTGGTACTGAATCTGGCGGAAGCAATGATGCCCAGTATCATTGATGGACTGGTAAACCTCAACAACTGAACTGGGTAAACTAACTGGTGGAAAAAACTCACAAGCACAAACCACGTACCAGTTCTGCTTGCTTCCGGCGATCTTTTTCACGCTCCAGTTCACCGACCATAAAGGCATTTTGTTCCCTCAATTGGTAAACTTCTTCATGGTATGCTGATTGGTCCTTATACAATTCGTCTAAATTTTCTAGAACTCCAATAACCAAAGGCATCAAACGTTCAACCACTGGTAGACCGTACGCTTCTATCATGGCCTCAAACTCTGCGTATATGCTTGATGCGATCCGCTGAACCCGATCTGACATGACTCCGGAAGACGGTGAAGCTCGTGAAGAATCGCTATTGGTTTCCAGAGTACCTACTGATTCGGAAAGGTACAAGTCATTTAGACTTCCAAAAGGCTGGTCTTGGCTGTTCGGTGTCGGCTCTTTGATTCTGGAGCGGACGGCATCATCACACTTCACTGGTGCTTTGGATGTAGGTTCGCCATCCTTGAGATGATCTGGTTGTCCTTCGGGTGCACTTTCTTTGGAAACGAGTTTCAATGGTTCTTCGTCCATCAATTATTGTGGCTACAACAATGAAAAATAAAAATTGTTGCAAACAATTGCTTTCACTAAGAATTGTAGCTGGTCGCGTGACAAAATAACGTAGTAAAAAGCATGTTCAAATGTGATCAGACAAATCCAGTGGATGCTTGCGAACACCCGAGCAGATGCAATAGTAGACGCCTATAAAAAGACGTCAGACTTTTCTGCAGAACGGAAACAAAACTCCGCTTTACAACGCTGAAAGGAGTTTATTTAGATAATTTAGTTCCCAAAATATCACTTCCGTCGGAGAACAGATTTTTTAATTTTAATGAATTGTATTATTTGAAAAAACGGATATTCCCAGGTGATAAAAAAACCAACGCACGGAAATTCTTAAAAGGATTTATTAAAAAGGATTCAAAAACTAACCGAAAGAAGAAAATCCACAAAATCACAACCCATATCCACCTCGTACCATTTCATCATCATCATCATCGTGCAGCGAAATACAGATCGCTGCCAGACTCGCAATGCATATGCAGTAGGTTCTGATGGACGGGTACTTCCAGGGAGTCCAGC